CCCGGCCCCCACCCCGCCTCCCCGGGCCGCGTCCCTTTTTCTTTCTGTCTTGGCACAGCTTACCCAGACGACGCGGCTGAACATATGGGCGGCATCCTTGGGCATTTTACTGATTTTGCTTTTGAAAACCTGGTCGGTTCACAAGTGTCCCCATTTCTCCTGTAGCCTACAGGAGAGATGAAAGCTGGTCTCCCTGGCAGGTGACAACTTTTGCAATCGGAGCTGGAGCGCTGGGAGGTGTGGCTATCCCCAGAGCAGAGCTACGGCGCCTGGGCAGAGGGGGTGGGGTGTGGGGTGTCATCAGTGGTTAGGGGTCCAGTTGTCAATGCCGTGGTGACTCTACCCTTGGCCCTGGGGACCATCCGTGCTGGTAGATTCATTTCGGGGGGCTTCCCAGGACTCCCTCTCTGTTGTTTCTGTTTAAAACACCAACCTCCTTGAGTTGTCTGACTCGTGAAGTCCCACAGGCCTCGGTCGGGTGCCTCTGGGGCAGCATGGACGGGGCCAGGGGTCCCCCAGAGGCTGAGAGCGACTCGGGGTGGACCTGCTGGGTTAGCCTGGTCCACGGAGCGAGTTGTGAACGCTGACCTTCAGGTCCGGTGTTGAGGGGAAGGGTTTGATTTTGCCACCAGCGGACCCCACCTGGAATCCGGGCTCTGAAAGGCACGGTGGCCGCCTGCGGGGGGAGCTTCGTGAAGCCGGGAAAGCGCTGCCCCAACAGCCACATCCACTGCTGGCTGTGAGGAGCCCTGCCTCTCGGAACCCCAACTGCCTGGGCCTCGCGGAATCCCAACTGCTCCCCGACCTGGCAGCTACGGAGGGGCCACGGAGAAAAAGGCTAGTTGATGTTCCTCTAGCCCTTTTAACTCGGGTCACGTTCCCTTCCAGCCTGTTTCTGTGCCTGTGAAATGCGAATTCTGAGGGACTGTCTCTGGACGAGATTGTTACTTCTGACCCCGGCCATCACCCCAGGTTTCTGTTTTGGGGTCTAGGTACCAGAGTGGTGCGGGGGAGAGAGAGCTGGGTGGTGGGCCCGCCTTCTCATCCCGGCTCTGCCACTTACAGCTGTGGGTCTCAGCTGTGGCGAAGCCACTCTGTGCTTCAACTTCATTTTCCCATCTATAAAATGGGATAATAATCCCTGCGTAACCTCGATGGCACATGGTTATTGGAAGTCTCCCACGGGATGACAAATGGGCAAGGGCTTTGTAGGAAGAGAAGTAAGGTGTATGTAAGGAGTATCATTATTAAACGACAGTTGGCAACTGGAATCCAGCCCGGCCCTGTCCACACCAGCTGCTTTCCCTGGGTGTTATAAGCGAGTGGCTCTTTTATGAGGTATCTTTGGGTTCATTTCCGACGAGGAGGGGACAGTAGGGCTGCGATTTCTTCTTCCATCCCTCCAGGCGTCCGAGGGGCATAAGGGGGCCATATAGGAAGGCAGGCTTTGGCAAAGCTGTCACCTGGGCAGTTCTGATTCTGTCCCTTGCACCGCTGCCCCTCCCCCCCG